ATGTTGCATGTGCAGTCCCTCACAATGCCTCCAACCAGGAGTGATGAGAAGAGGCCTAAGACACTGCTTCAAGCTTAGGTTTCCAGTGGGGCTGCAGTAACAGGTTGTGTGCTTGCTGTGAGTATGTCCCAACTGGCAGGTAAATTGTGTTGATGATTTAGCCCCATTTATTGCTATGAGAAGTGAAAAAAATATAGAAATGAAAAGAAATTTTTATTTTGACTGAAATGCTTAGGTACTTGGAGTCATGAAATGTTGAGATAATGGTAGATCAGCTGAATAACAGAGGCAACATATCAATATAGCTTATATATTGAAAGGAAAATGGTTAGAGTTTATCTAGTCTGTTCATGCCAAGAATTAATTGCAATGGTAGCAGCTTCAAAATTAAGCCCAGAAAGTGTTAATTTCTAACAGTTATTTAAGAATCTCAGCTTCAAAAAGAAAGGCAGTTATGCTGTTCCAGGAAAATGAAAGGACTTATTTTGAGTGATTTAGAAAAAAAGCAGAGCTTAACCCTTTTCTATTTCTCTCTCTCCTTTTCTCTCTCTTTTTTCTTTTTTTTTTTTTCCCCAACATTTTGAGAGGGAATACGGGTCCATAATTCAGCTTTCAACTTGTGTCAGAAAGCTAAGATTTCCCAGGCATTTTGTCAAAGACTGAGATGTCTTCTTCTCATTTATTTTCCTGCGGGAAACCCTTCTCATAGCAAATGCAAAGATGAGTACCTAAGAACACATGGTCTGGGCTAGGAATTTCTCCAGACATGCAGGTCAGTGGTGCTCGCCTGATTTGCTTAGTATCAGGTTGTGGCCAGCCTTGAGACCAGCTCAGCTCTTTACTGTGGGCTTTGCAGCCCTTTGACTGTGAGGCCAAGAATAGGAGAAGACAACAAGAAGTRGTAGAGAGAGGGGGATGTTGGATATGTAGCTGAGAGAAGACTTGCCATGGGTCTGGCTGACAGCGGGGATTATAGAGCCGCTTATCTCACTGCTTTGGAAATGTTTTCACCATGTTTTTTTGAAGTGCAGACGAGTGCAAGGGAGAAATTCTGCTTGCCAGTGAACAAGCATGCAGTAGTTTGTTCCGAGTGTGTCCTAAGGAAGGCTTGAAGCACCTGAGAGGTGAATCCATGGAGAGACTGGTGTATCAGGAAGGATCCTTGGGCTGTTGGTATAGATAATTCTTAATGAGCCTTCAAGGTGGCAAATCTGACAACCAGATAATTAAGTTTTTGAAAAGAAAAAGGGAAGTGTTTTTTATGGGAAATGTTTGTTTATAAGTAACTTTCATAAACCCATAATGTATGTTTTTCTTGAGCAAGAGCTAATAAGGTTCCCCCCTTCCTGTCTAGAATCTGATAAGACTGCAGAGAAAAACACTACAGTGAAAACCTGTTAAAAGTACCACTGCACAGGGCCTCTATTTTTTTTTTCCCCACTGTCTGTGCTGGAAGGACTGTGATGGACAAGTGCAAAAACTCCCTTTTTGAAAGAGGGAAGAGATGTATCTGGAGCTAGGAATGCAGGAGTATTAAAAAGATGTTTTCTTTTAGTTGAGGGCTAGGTCAAGTTTACTCATCTTGAAGGCTGCCTGAACAAAACCACTCTAATATCTGCCACCGCTCTAACGTCCACCCTCTTCCTGTCAGATTTGCATTATAAACCGGATGTCTTAGTGTTCTGGGGCTGCCTTTTTTGTTGTTTTTGCTATGAATGACAGAAACTTTCCTTATTCCAGTAATTATTTTATTTTGGAATCCCTTCACTTTCATTTGAGATTTAATGATATATTTTTAAGTAGTTTTTTTACTCACTTGTTATCAGTTTTGCATTTACCTTCTTAACTTCATATATTTTGTCTTTTTTCTTTTTTATGGATATGATCACTTTCTAAAAATGTTCTTAAAACCTGGCCAATGTGTTGTGACAGTCTGTTAGTTCAGCTCCAGATCAGCTTGCAGTGATCCTTTATTTGTGACTGAAAAGTGGATTTAGTTTGCTTCATTTTTGTGCAAGATGTTGTGTTAGTTTGTGGTTGCCTGTAGTAAGGCCATCTTAATACTAGCGACCCAACTTTGTCTGTTGTGTTGCTATATCCCAAGGATGCAAAGAGCTTCTTCTGCAGTAACTTAGTGACCTCCCCTGTGCTGGCAGTGGACATCATTCAGGTTCAAGGAGGAGACTGGAATAAGTGAGCCTTTGCAAATTTAAGTGTCACCTTAATATAAAGGGAAAATATAAGTCTTATTACCCACAGAACTACTCACATCCTTTCACTATTTCACTGTATTTGACTGTAGCCCTGTGTTCTCTATTTTAAGTGTGATGGTTAAGTATTGCTGGAAATTGACTTTCCGTAATATTTTCACTAGCAGAGAAAAGAACAAATATATCTCTCTTGCAGTGGTGGTTTTCTGGCATGCTTTTTTTCCAACTCTTCCATGGTGTCTTTAGCTTTGTACACCTCAGTAGCAAGTACCTTCCTGTTGTGTTTTCCCCTTCTCCTTACGGTAAGCAACTGGAGTCTCTCTTCCTGAAGAGAGTCATATCCAAGCAGTCCAGCTGCTGAAAACTGATTTGTTTTCAGCTGTCTGTCTGGATATAGTAGAACAAATGTTAAACACCTACTATAGTAAGAGGATGAAAAATATTTCATGAAAAAGTTCCCCTTTTTTGGAGAACTCTGTTTGCTCTAATATCTTAAGAGTGTCTCYGAGATTTTGTTTTTTCATTCTTCAGCAGTTTTTGCGCTATGTGCAAGTGCCTCAACTGCTTCAGAATTTCTGAAAAGCTAGTATGTTGTCAGCAGAAACCAACAGATGTCAGTGCTCCATAACTCAGTTACACACATCTGTTTCCTGGGGATGGAATCCAGGAATCCAGGGGTAGCAGCTTTCCATACCTCCTWTTTTAGAATGTTTCGATAGTTGAAAAAATCAATATTCTTAAGTTTATAAGTTGTTGCACAGTGTAGGGCACAGAAGGATCTTGTTAAGATAAGGAATATATTTCAAGTCTTTTTGGCAAAGAAATGAATTTGTGCAAGTTATTCCTGTCCACTTCAACACACAGAGCAAAAGTTCATCCCATTCCGACATCTBTTTTTCATTAGCTGCACCAGATTCTGTAACTAAATTTCTAATATTTGCATTCATGCTTTCAACTCTGTGATAAAAGTAGAGCAGCTGTAATGCTCAAACTTGTAGAAGCCTGAAATCACGGATAATACTGAAAATGATAAAACTCAATTTGTGGAAGATTTTTAGTTGAGAAGACATCTTTCAAATATTAGCCAACTCTTGATCACAGAAATGTGCATTTATTAGGTAACATATAACTCTGGCATGCATTCACGATGGATAGAAATGCTGAGTCCTGCAGACTTTCTTGAGGATGTATGTGCAGTAAATGTAACCTTTACATGTTATGATACCACGAAGCAGTAATGCAAAGCGAAGAGTAAGTTGCACTGYATTTTTTACACATATTTGAGGCATGTGGTTTTTATCATTTTGTATTTTCATTAGCAAGCACGCTTTAGAAGCACACTGTGGTAGCAGACAGGACGGGCTGTGGTCTAACTGTCCTCACTTATCGCCCATGCTGATCACAGCCCACCTCCTCTGAACCAGAACCGACTGGTTCAGTTTACAGGTTTTTTTCCRCTAAATAATCGAGCCTTTCTTTAAATAAACAGCTCCCCTGACACCCAGAAGCCTTAAAACATCACCTTGTCCTTTATTCACACTAATAAATAAAAAGCTTGCTGCAATCAGTACACATCTGTATAAATAAGATTATTTATGCAGGGGCCTCAGCCATTCCACATAAAAAACTGGCAGTAAGTAGTTGCATTGGCTTCAACCCACTATTTGTAAAACACGTACTCCTCTGTGATTATTGCAACAGGCCCCATCTTATTTTTGTTTCCCATGCAATAGTGTGAACGCTAGAAAACATTTTTCCCGGCTTAGTTTTTCAATAGAGAAAACAAATTTCATGAGTAGCTTTTACTTTTCTATCTTAAAAAAAAAAGGGGAGGATCCCTGTTTAACAGATTTAAAACAATTTTTTTAAGGATCTTTGGTTTACCGGGGAATCTGTGTGAGCAGCGAGACACGATTCAAGTTTTCTAGCCATCTTAGTTGCTCTTAGGTGGGACTATTATAGAACAAACATGGGCCTCAGAAAGGCAGTCTGTCAGATAGCTTTTATTTCTCTCTACCTCCTTACAAATGCAGTGAGTGGACTTTTACTGCACATAATGCGGTCCCCATGTACAAACCTGTGATAATATGCTGCCCCAAACTGAACAAATGCTTCAACTCCACTTCTGATTTTCTTCCTGAACTTTGAAAAGAACAAATTTGCAGAGCTAGAACGTGAGAAGTGCAGAGCCTAAAATACGAGAATTGTTTCTCTTTATGGAAATATTTACTCTGCCAGATCTTCAAAATTAAGGTTTTACTTAACTTCAAAAGGCTTCTCCAAACAAGATAATGTTTGTAAACTTTGCATTTTTTTTTTTTTTTAATACAATGTTTAGGCTTATGGTTTGTTTAACAGTGCTAGTCTGTGGCCAAGTGAGGTATGTGCCTTGGAATTGTTTTTATGCTCATTAAACTCCCTTTTAAAGAGACAATAATATCATTTTGTAATATTGTCTTTAATTGAATATTTTAAAAGCAATATATAAGACAAATACTGAGTCAGAAGAACAAACATCCACCACTTTTCATTCACTCTTGTATGCTCCTAATTATATCTTAAGCTTTGAATCTCTATTTTTTCCCACATGCACAACTGTTTTTAACATGAGGATCTTCCTTATTCTTCAATTCTAAATTCCTATTAAAATATAAGAAACAAAACCTTATTTCTATTGCCCCCCCATCTCAATACTCAGAAAAGTTAGAAGAAGCAGAATTTGATATAAAACTCCTAGCCATAAAGCAAAACAGGCTGTGTGCAGTAGTACAAGAAAGCCTTTTTTGTTTTGTTTTTGTTTTGTTGTTAAATGCAGCACTAGGAGCAAGGGGATCCATAGCAAAGCAAACTTAACAAGCTTATAGAAAAAAAAAAACCATAATTGCTGTTTTAGCAAAGATTTACAAAATCATTCTCTCATGTTTTCTTCCCATGTTGCTTAGCTGGAGTTCTCATTCTGTATATGAAGAAGAGTACGATCACGTAATACATGAAGCTTTTCAGAAGCAGGACTATGTACACTAAATACGCCGTCCTGTGTATTAAGTGATCTGGAACAAACATAAACACAGAAAAGTCCTGTTTAGCCATCAATTAACCCCATCCTTCTGCAAGATTAGCAGAACTAGGACGATGCAGCACGCGTGTTGCTGCAACTCCATCGCTTTCAGCACACAGTGCATTGGCAAACGCAACATCGGCCTGACCTCTGGGCTTTGAATTGCTCACACATCCAACATCAAACGTGTTTTTAGGAACTAAACTGTCTGAACACAGCTAGGTGATTATTCTCTGCTAAGGCAAGAACGGAACGCTGGTGTTTTCAGCATGGATTATGGGTCATTTTGTGTTTGCATCCATCCTTTTGCTTTTTGTGAACACGTGTGCTTGATTTTAACTCAGTCCCTATTCAAACTAAAAGAAGCTTCTGATTTTCTGAAGTATTGGGCAGCAGCTGGTCTGATACCAGCTGAAGCTTTGAACATTTGACAACTCGAGTTACTTAAAACAGCATCATTTAATGCGGGCTGTGTAGGACAGCGGGCTCCCAAATGCCTGGCTCGTGCTAATAAAGGCAAAGGAAGGAGAACTCCTCTTTATAATCCATAATAAATGTTAATTCAGAGTAGTATTTAAGCATTTTTAAGTTGCAGACACCAGCAACTTAAATTTGTTTCTTGTAAGACATTTAAAAGTATTATTTTCATCGTGTTTTAAGCATGTGTAACAACACCTAGTTCTTCTAGGACACGCATTGTGTTTAAAAATATTTTAATTACCTCCAGAAAAAATGGTACTGTTTCCTGCATTGCAGTCCTCATTCTCTGCAGTCGTTGTAAGATCTAATGGAAAGAGAATGGAAAGAGAATTTACAAATCCTAATTAGGCTCTTCTTTCACAGTAACAAAACAGAAACGAAGAGGCAGTACAGTAACAGTGAAATGGGAAGATACTATCAAATACTTAGGATTTATCTTTCATGAAAAGGAAATAGGAGAAAAATGGTCATTTAAGAACATCTCAGAGAAAATGTTTATGAGGAGCATGCATTAGCAGGGAGAAATTCAAGGAAAAAAATCTTGTATTCGTGCAAATGGGTATTTGTAACCCTAATTCAGAGTTCTGCCTTTGCCATGCTTGGGAATTTGCCCTTGAGGCTGCTCCTTGGCTGTGCCTTCTCCTGATGTGTATTTTGGCTACGGTTGTRCCAAGGAGCACGGCCCCTTTCAGGAGCATTAACGCACTGGCTTATTTCTATAATTTTATTACAAAGAAAAAGTGAGTTCTGTAATATGTAGAATACTTTTTTAATAATATAGAGGAAACCTGTTTTAGAATGGTAGTATATACCTTCTTTGAAAGTGTCAAATGAATGTGTTCCACTTTCATGCTCATATTTGCAAGAATATTTCTTGTTTTTGTTCTCCTTTGATACCGTTAACCAGCTTCCAATAGAGTATTGGCCATCATCTGCAGATTTCCAGATTTCTCCTTTTTCTACGTTGTCTGTTACTTCTTTTTTTCCATCGGTCCATGTCACTCGAATAACTTCTGGATAGAATTTCTCGACAAGGCAAACATACGTCAGCTTATTTTCGTTTTCACTACTCAGGACTTCATGGTTTTTTGGTGGGGAATAGCCCTTGTCTGGATTTGGGTTTGGAGGAAAAAAGAGTAAAATAGAGAGTTGAAAGATGAATAATGTACAGAAATAAATATATATGTGTTTAAATACAATATATAATTAAGTATAAATATTTCACCTAGATGTGTTTTTCAATTTTTTTCCGGTCAGTTACTCATCCACACAACCTAATTTCTTAGGAATGGCTACCTAAATGTGTTATTAACAAACACTTTAATTCTCTAATATGTTATCCGATGTTTTGGATGGGAACAAAAATGCCCCATGTACAAAAGGGATTTTCAATAATAGGATAAGTGAACTTTAGCTGTTTCTCTTCTTAAATTAAAAAAAAACCCTCTTGTTTGAGCTGAACAGACTCTAAGTTGGCATTCAAATACCCTTTATATTAAACACTGTTCGAGTGAATGCACTTGGCAGGTTTTTGATTCCACTCCAAAATTACAATTACAGTTACATGGCTGTGACAATACAAAATTAAACCTTTAACTTTAAATGCATCAGCTGAAAGAAAATTAAAATGAGTACAGGCTTTTATAAGGAAAATACAAATCAAACTTAAAATCAGAAGACAAGACACAGCCCAAATTTTGTAAATTTGTTTTTGTTTAGAGAACATACAGATGCCTAGAGTCCTGAGAATGCTCAGTCTAAACTTTCATACTCTTTCATGTGTGTGGAGAAATATAATTTAAATTTAAAACTGCCCAGTGAATGCTAACACCCAGGCTATGCATCATTCATACATTTATCTCCTGGCATACTAATGAATCAGAAATTTTTAAAGACATGTTTGGCACCTATTTGATTGTCTTTGAAAAATTCCCATTTGCATAACTGAAACTTAGACAGAGAGACACAGATAAAGAATTAAAGGTTATAAGAAGTAGTTTTGAAAGTACCTCATCAACAATTTTTGAAATGTTTTATTATAAAAAGAAATTGGTTATTTAAAACATGAAATATCTTTTCAAAACCATTTTTAAAAACTATTTTTGAGAATCATGATAGGAATTTGGAATATTGCTGAAGATATAATCAATTTCTCTTCAAGATGAATTGGAAAAAAAATTTAAGATACTACATGGCAATATAGAATAGACAGCCTTTCAAGGAGTACAATTGTCAGAAAGGTGTATTTGTCTCCACAAGTCCTTGACGATTATCAAATAATAGTAATATGTCTTYGAATAACTTTTTTTCATTCATTTATTTGACTGTAGGATTATAATAATGCTTATGCAAAGACAATTAAATGGAAAATTTGTCTGTAACTTATTAATGATGGCCCTACCTACTTATCAAATCTTTGCAAGCTTATGTACCTATCATAAAATAGATAATGCACTCTTAAGCAATGAATATCTACTACACCTATATAATTCATTTAAAACTGAAATTAATTTTGCAGGTTTGGCCATTCTTTTTGAAGAAATTATTTGTGTTGGCCAGGTAATGATACAGGATAAATACAGGAATATGGAATAACAAAATGCTCTGAACTAGGAAAGTTGAAAATGCTGTTACTTTAATACTAGGTTTATATAAGKGTATGAATTAAGATAATTGAAAGAAAAAATATAAATATCATTTATATTGGAGTATAGAAATATTTTATTTTATATTAATCATCTATATTCTTTTATACCAGCATTCTATAAAGTGATATCCTTTCAGAAAAGCATTCCATACAAATACCCAAACATAGAGCACATTTTACCATCAACAGGGATYAATTGCCTCTATGGACTAAAACTTTTATTATTAAGGGGAGTCCAAATCCGCCAGGAATTGTCCGTACAAAAAAAATGACATTTTGATATTTGTTATAGAAGCGGATAGCAAAGTTAATAGATTGTTCTGGTTAACTATATACACTTCTATAGTCCATGTATAGCCAGTGCTCTTAGGTAGTTATTTTTGTCTGGCGAGAGCTAAATGCAGATTTAAATTTAACTTTCATTTTATAGAAAATACTGTAAAAGAATGATTTTTAAGGCAGCAAAGAGATTTAGACATTCACCCCCCARCACCATTCCATCCCTCCAGATGCCTATGCAATCTCTACCACCATCTTTCTGGCTACTGGAAGCAAAAGGTTTATAGCATTGATTTGGCTGCGTGGCAGAGTTTTCATGCATTGTGAGAAAATACATAAACATATATTTTCTGTCAAAATTTCCACCTTTCTTTAAACGATTGGGCAATCTTTCATATTGCATCTCCCCCCAAGAAACTACCAAGAGATTCTTTTGAGTACTATGTTCAAAAAAAAGATAATCAAAACATAAAACTGTCTACCTTCAAAAACATAATCCTTATATAATGATTTCTCACTTATTTTAGAGATTGTCATTGAAAGAAATGAAGATGAGGACTTCTAAAAATTTTATGGTCCCCCAGTATYAATTTAGGGGCTAATTTTTTGTCTTCTGTATGCATAAGACCTGTGAGGGATGCAGGATTAACCCCATTTCCAAAATTATTGTTTGAAAGAGCATCATGTAGAACTTATCCTAGCGACGCTGCTCTGCAAAATTTCATGGCTAGATGCTTCTTTCAGATTTTCAAAGCTCAGTAAGATACCCTATCTAATTCTAGTAGGTTCAAGTATAATCATCTAATTTAATTTTTTTTTTCTTTTGGATTATCAAATCTAAAGAGAGAGAGAGAGAGAGGGATGCTTCCAGCTGGCATTTCATCATGTCTGGCTTGCCAGCAACTTCTAATATCATCACAGATGATAAAAATAATGTACTCCGGCCCAACTGCAAGTCTCCCCACATACCCTAAAAAGGTATTGTCATTACAAAAATTATGATTTTTTAAAACACTTACCAGAGACGATGAGTTTTGTGCCAGTACCAAATACCTTGTAATACATGCCCACACTGATACATTTTATTACCAAAACTGCTTGCAATATTTTGACTAGCCAAGGATCAGCTTGTTCATTTTTTGGTGTAGTATTTTATTTTATTTTGCTTTGTTTTGTTTTTTCACAATAATCATGTGAATAGAGTCAATTAATTTGGCTATATGTCATGTAGAAAACTTGATTTGAAGTTCAGGTACTGCTGTTATTCCCAAAGCTCCTTTAGTAAAATGTGCTTTAAAGTCAATTTCAACATAATTGCTGTTACTGATCTAAAAATATCTTTGCAGGAGAGTGAAAAGCACCATCAGAAAGCCCCTTTGATCTGTTTGATCAGATATTAAGTAGAATTCAATCCAAAGCAATATAATTTTGATCAAGTACATGCAATATTTTCGAAAGGAAAGCTCAATATTCTCATGGTTTGCCTTTCTTTCTTAAAAGAAATGGTAGCAGCAATAATAACAATAATAAATATTGCAAGATTTCTGCAAAAACCAGGAAGAGACATCAGCCTTTCAACCTTGATTTTCTTCAGACAATTCTGAGCATACCTCTGTTAAGTCCTGTCATTAAGTTTAGTCTGGTGTGCTCCTAAACAAGTTCTTTTTACTCTTCAAAGAATTTAAATAACCTAAAGCTTTGTTATTTTCTTTCAGAACAACTTAGAAATTTCACAGAAGCTGAATAGGCATTGTTAAAGAAAACAAGATCTGTTAGTTCCCCGAGTATTATCTTTGATATATTTTGATTCACCTTTAAAAACAAAATGATAGTGGCATTAGTTATATTTCTATCGTGCAATAATTGCTCTTTCCCACATTTCATAAACAAACGCAAAGTAATCATGTTTTTCCCAACTGTGAAACACTACTTAAGGGGAAAATCCTGCTAAGCCTTGAGCAGGATTAAAACTAGTGAGAACTAAAACAGCAGAGCACTTGACGCAGCCCAGATCTAACTSTCGTGATGCATCGAAAAAGTTCCAAGTTTTATATTTCACTTACCTGAAACAATCAGCTTGGTTCCACTTCCAAATACTTTTACATCAGCATACCACCATGTGATAATGCTTAGCAATATCTCCTGCACTTCACTTTCTTTTCATAAGCTACAGAAAAGGTCTCGCTGAGTTAGAGGATGGTGAGAACCTGACCCATTTGCAGTAACTGCAGTTTTAATAGGCATTGCAGACTTAGGAATACTTTGATTTTTGCAGTTAGTAGAAAGATCACATTTCCAAATGCAATGCAATTATTTCACCTCTGGAATATCTGTAGCAAAGATCTGTTATCTCTAATCTGTTAGTTTTTTGCATGCAAGTACTTCATCCTGACCTTCATTTCACTGTAGCAGAAGGAAGGCTTTAAAACACTTTGACAAACCGACGTAAAAGCATGCCTGCCAGTACAAAAACATTCTATTCTGGTTGCAGATCAGAGTTCTATGAAAACTAATGATTCTTTGAGGTAAAATACTTCAGCAAACTCAAAATACAAATGCAAAAGGAAACCAGTTATTTATAGAGCCAGGAGCTGCAAGTCATGGTGCAAGTCTGTTCCATTCCCAGCAATTTTCCTCCACAGTGAATGGAGACTGAACAAGGTCTAGCAACAGGAAACTTTTATATTCTCACTACCCTGCTAGCTGCTCTGTAAACTTTCAGGCATTTCCATTTTTCTTTCCTGGAGCAGTAGAAAGAGCACCCCATCTTAATATGATTTCAGGAACGCTTCTAAAGATGCTCACAATATTCACCAGATCCACATATTTCTTCCCCATCAACCTATCCATATGGAGCTCTATGCATAGATGACAGACAAAATACGACTTACTTTGCACAGATTATTTTTCCTTCACTATTTCCTTCTTATTTATCTTATTGGTGCAGCCCATGTAGCACGTGAAAACAATATCAATAATGGTACTTACTAGAGACAATGAGCTTGGTTCCCATACCGAAGTATTTGATCCAACGTGTATCCACAGTAGATTTTGACTTTACAATAAGTTGAAGTGCTCTGTTTCTGTTCTGTCACTGGAGGAAAACAAAAAACTCTTTTCCAAACAGTCCCTGGGAACCTGCTGGAAGGATCTCAGGCCATCATCTGGAGAACATCAAGTATTTCAGATTTTTGTCCAGTTGTTCATCAGATACCTAAAGTCCCTTCAGAGCAAGTCTCTTTCTCAAAGCATTGCAAAAATTGTTAGGTTAGGCCTCCATGTTGTGTGTGAGAACTAGGTGAAGGCTTCTTCTCAAGTTTAAACAAAAAGTCCATAGAGTTGCACATATTAGAAAATCATAGTCGTGATCCTGCCCGTTCTCAAAAGCATTAACCCCTTCTTCTCACCAGCAATTATGGGACATAGGAACCAGGAAGCAATCATTTTTCAGCTGTCTTAATACAATTTAGCAGGTGGAAATGAAGGAGAGCCATGACGAGCCTCTCTGCCATGCATTTCAAAAGGATTTGTAAGCTGCACCTTATATTTTCTCTATTCAGTACGTAGCTATTTTCTGCTCACCTCCTCATCCCAGTCTCTGTAACACCAGCTTACTCAAACGTTTACGTATACCGGAACATGAGGGAAAAGGCCTTTTCCTTTGCACGCTGGTTTCTTGCAAAGCAGGCCAAGATAACATCTGGGGAAGCCCAGCTTCCATCAGTCAAATAGTCTGCATGTGTAACTTGGCAATTAAAAGAAACTGAGTTTGGGTGCTTTCAGGATCATGTATGGTATATACATACACCCAACTGAAAAATAATGCAAGGATACCGATATTTATGACTACAGAGAGGAACTAGACTGAGAATGAAGTCCTTTCAATTTGCATGAGCGGATATAACAGAAGCTTTTGTATATTCTAATTGTTTCTGTCAGGGAGGGACTATCTTTTCTTACCATAATTATCATTTTGGACACTTCATACAGAACTGAAATTGCAGCACTTTTTCATCCCATCAGACTCATGATTTTCAAATGGATACACTTAAAGGAACCAAGTGAGGTGGGGATCTGGGATCTGCAGCAAAGGAGAACTTTTTTAAAGAGAGCTTTGATAGTTGATGGCGGAGAAAAACTTTTGTGGGTGAATTTCTTGGACAGGGAAGCCAGCATGCAACGTGGCAAGACAATTTCAAAAACTTACCAGAGGACTGAAGTGGGATGTCTAACTTTAAGTAAGCTAATGTTTTAGGCAATGGATAAAAATGAAGATCAAGTTTGTTTACTTGCTTGTCAGAGAGAAGAAGAAGGTGGTAATAAGACTACATTAATCAATACCAGGATAAAATAAAGAAGATATTGATCATAATGAGGTAATGGGAAAATGGTCCTTTCATCCACCCAGGCAGACTGCAGATTGCCATGAAGAGCTGGTGAGCAAGGAGGGCTGCAGAGCCCCAGCTTCTGGCACCTCGCATGGTCCTGGGGGTGACAGGGGAAGGCTGGCTCCTGCACCGACCTTTTCTGAAGCAACATGCTTTTGGCAGAAAGAGAAACCAAAACAATCACAGCAAATGGAGATTTAAAGCCCACTTTTCCTCCTATGTCTTTTGGACATTTTAAAAATCTTTATGGTGCGTGAACAGGAATGGTAGTGAGAGACAGTTGTCTGGTTCATAAACAGTCCCCATCTACTCTGTGGAGGAATAGAAAGCTGATTTAATTAGCTGGAAATTACTTCTTTGCACCTCTATGCCATAAGTACTGGACCAAAGCACATATCTGTCCACAGATTCTGGTTATCTATAGGCATGCAGCTAATGTTGAGCTTACTTCCAACATTACACTTTGAGGAAGTAGCTAGGAGGGATGTATTGCTTATGAGACGAAAATATTCATGAGACACATAAATAAATGTGGAAAGCTGAAAATAATAAATGTAGATACACTTAAGCATGGAAAACTCTCTCCTTTGGTAATGCTATCTCCAACTTTTGGAGGTCATTCAGGTACATTACTACCATGCAGAAAGCCAGCAAAACACAGACAGTGATAAGCAAGAAGAATAAGCAAAGGCGATTAAGCAGATCCAAAAGAATGAATAAAAACACATGTTTCCATGTTTCAAGAAGAATAACTAGAAATTCTTCCTCTTCCCACAGATGCTAACTTTTAAAACAAAATAAGATTAAATTCTTCATTGTTTAAGATTTTACAAACCTTTAGGCTAAAGCTTATTATTTCCACTTTCATCGGCAAGCTGAAGCTTTCCAAAAGCTTCAGTGAAACATGCTGAGGAATAGAATATGGAGAAGTKTTTTTTTTTTCCTTTGTTAAAGAAATCCTTACAGCTGGCATGCTTGAGTGAAAGGAGATGAATCTGAACTGTAGAGGCTGACCCGCCTTGAGTTAGGTGGTTGCCTTGCACTATTTGCACTTTTCATTTTTTTAATAGAAATCTCTAGGTTTTGAGGATGAAGTCTCAGCCTAGACTGAGAGTATTTTGATTCTCTAGAATCAACATATGAGGCCAAACTGCTTCTTCACACTGAGGGAGATGAATAGGGATCTTTTCAAATACTTTGTGGTTCAGATGCTGATAGAGTATTTGTTTAGGCGATGTGTGAGTTTCTACCATTGTGTGTACTGCCAATGCCAGTATGCACAGTAATAGGTAGCAGCATCCTCTGTCATTACATCTTTTATTGTGAGAATGCACATTTTCTGGCTAGAAACTTTTTCAACCATATACCTGTTCTCTTGGAAGTTACTATCTACAGCKATTTTCCCTGCTGTAAGGTAGAACATCCTATCTGGAGCTTTGTCCTTCTTCTGTTGATACCAGTGTATGATAATGTCTTCAAAATTTCCAGAGAAGTCTTTAAAGTGACATTGCAGACGTATACTTCCTTTAGACTTGGTGATGGATTTAGGGCTCTGCTGAGGAATTTGCTGTGCAAATCCACCTGGGAAGAAAAAAAAACATTAATTGGAATTCAGAGATTTGAGAAGATGTCTTTTAATGCAGCAGTGAATGCCTCTGAACTGAGAAATTAAGGAAGGACTTACAAGACCAGATCATTATGGCTATACAAGCTGCCAGCAGTGACATGCTTGTCACGCTCTGTGGCCACTGAGAGTCAGAGGAGAGTGAAACAAGCGCAGTGCAAGTCAAACAGTATCACATGGGAGTGGGTGTTGTCTCCTTTGAGTGACAGTTAGTGACACTGCTTTTTAACCTAGAGAAATGCACTCTCTACCTCTGCACTGGGAGCACTAGAGATAAGGGGAGCCAATGTGGATGAAGGAGATGGGAGTATCACCCCCCCCAAGGCTATGGCATCCTTAAATCTCCAGCCTCATCAAAGTGACACAGTCCCCTATGACACACCAAGGTACACCAGCAGTGGTAAAGCCTCTAGGGACAAATGCTTCCAGGGTTCACAATGAGTTCATCATTGCAAAAGGGGCATGAAAACAGCAACTGCTCTGGTGAGGATGCATCCTGGCTCAGGAAGCCTCCTAAGATCGAATTCCAAGCACTAGAGAAAGGTCCTCAGAAAAGTAGATAAGAAAATCCAGGTGAAGTGCAAGAGCAATGTATATTGCAAGTCACTGCATAGGAAAGGCAGAAAACAGCAAAAAGTAGGTACTATCCACTGAATTAAGAAGCTCTACGGAAAACTGCCAGCATTGCAATACAGACATGTGGTAGCACCAATTTCTGCCTAAGAGCTTAAGTGTCATGCCATTGACTAGCCTTGAAGATATCAACAGGACTTAGCGAGCACTTGGGTGCCTAAACTTCACTTGATGTTTAAGAGTTTCAAGACTGARTCTATTCGTGTTACCTTTCATTTATACCTATGCTGATACATATMAAAAAAGCTGATATACTGGGCATATACCCTTATCGCTTCCCTCCAGGCCTGTCACATTTTTGTGATTGTGCAAATTGCACTGAAGGAGCAAGTAACTTGCCCCTATTCATACGTTTATTCCTAAGGCAGTAAAGAATTTCTCTGTGCTTAAAATAAGGTAGATGTGCGTTTGATGATCACAGTGGTAATGATGGCACATGCTTAAAAACAACAGCTGTGCACAGGTAGCACAAAATGGTTTGGCTTTTCTGCAGCTGATAGATCTTTCCAGATGAGGCAAGTGACTGTGGTCTCACACCATTAAAAATTCAAATGATGAGAGAGTTTTGTCTAAATGATCTCTGAGTTTCTACCACAGTGAGCGTCCCAGTAGGCACAGTAGTAAGTGGCAGCATCATCTGGGGTTACATCTTTTATTGTAAGCACACACCGATCTTGGCCAGAAACTTTCTCAGCCAGGTACCTATCCTCTTGAAAGCCACTTTCAACAAAAGTCTTCCCCTGTGAAAAGTACAGTAGCCTCTTTGGGGGGTTCCCGTCCTTCTGTTGATACCAGTGTATGACAGTGCTATCAAAACTTTCCAGTAATGTAGTAATTTTGCAGCTCATGCGTGCACTTTTTCGGGACTTGGTGATAGATATAGGGCTCTGCTGAGGAATTTCTTGAGCAAATCCATCTAGGAAGAATAAAAGGAGAAAAGAAATAATCAACTATAATTCAGAGATTTGGGAATATGTCATTCAGTACAACCACGAGCACATGGTAGAAAGCTAAGAAAATAAGAAAGGACTTACAAGACCAAACCAGTGAGACCATAAGAGATGTCAGCAGTAACATGTTCACTTGTTGCATTCAGCAGATGAAAGGGTCAGAGAAGAAGAAAATAAGTCCCCGATGGGGACTGCATGGTACAGGAGCAGGAAGTGACTCATCTGAACAAATCCAGTGACAGGTCTTTTTGCAAGTATATGGGGCCACATTCGCAGAAAACCTGCTGCAGGCTGGAAAGGACTCAGGCCAGAAAATGCTAAAAACAGTGAGAAAATTTCCAGATAGATGAGAGAAACAGTTGCGAATCCAAGGATTTTGACCATTAAACTTGAGCTCGAGTCAGAGAGATAGGATTAAAAGCAAGGATGTCTCCAGTTGTGTAACGGAGAGAAGAGTCCAGCCTAGAGGCCACCAGCAAGTGCCTGAGGGTTGCCAGTCCTTGGCCAGAGATCCACACCAGTGTCCCTAGTGCTGGCCTCACTGAGCAGGAGACCTTCACCATGCCATCAGGGACCTCATTTTGCTGCTTCAGCTCAGTTATTCTACAGCTCCAGTGCACTGAAATGTCCAGGATGCCTCTGTGCCTGTGGTACCCCACACAGAAGAGGCACGTGAGCTTGTTGCACCTACTAGGGCAGCTGTACAGTGGATATGAGCCTAGTCTTTGGTTTCAAATATGGGAGGAAATACACAGCTGCAAGATTTCAGTTTCAAAGCTCAGATAAGGTGCAAATAATTCTTGGAAAGAAAGACTCAAAAACAAATGTTGCCTGTGCACAGAATCTGCTTGTCAACTGCCTGTGCACACATCTGCTTGTCAACTGCCATTGCTGTGGTGCTGCTTCGTGATAAAGTCACATGGACATCATGAGGAATCTCTCCTATAACAAGATAACAGAAGTTGTGGGACCATCTGGGCATGAGAGAGGCAAGCTGCTTCATCCTCCCTCATTTATGCCATCAGCTGTGTGAAGCAATGTAGCATTAAGTAYATGTTATTGGCAGGCTAGGAAAGGCATCCCTGGTAGCAGTATTTCAGGTGAAAATGAGAGAGACATACCTGTGCAGTAACAGTATTGGCAGGACTGGCTCACCTCTTTTTGGTAAATAATGATGGAGATGTCTATTTATTTCTTTATTGAGCGATCCTGAGGAGGATGAGAAGAAGGGAGTTAAGAACCATCAGGCACAACAAGCTGTGTAGGTGGCTTAAGATCATGGTAATGAGAAAGAGAAATATGAAACAGATTTTAAGGGGAAAGAGGAGACAGAGAGACAGAGAAACAGAAAATCTGTCATTTCAGATACCTCCAGTGACAGTTCTGCTGTACGGGGCACTGTGGCGAAGGGAAAATCAAAATTGCATTGGCAAATGTGTGGAAATAGAAAGGACCTAAGATCAAGGCTCTTTTGAAAAAAAAAAAAAAAAAGAAAAAGAAAAAAGATTAGAATAGTAGATCAAAGATGGTCCATAAGGAAAGAAGTAGAAATGACAGGCAGTTCAGTAAACCATACACAGCTGAGCTTTTAAACTCCCTACAATGATTCTTTTGGAAGACTTAAATGTATTAGGGGAAGTACAGGTGGATAGATGGATGGATGGATGGATAGATAGATAGAAAGAGAGATAGAAAGAGAGATAGATAGACAAACAGATTACAGGATAGWCAGTGAACTTGCTTAACATTAGCCATACCGGTGTCTGGGATCAGAAGGACACAGATACTACCAAAGGCAGGTATCTGCTGTGGAAGTGATGAATGTATCTCTGCCTCCAAATGAAAMTCAGCTTGGTTGCCTGACACAGTTGTCACAGTTGTTTTGTGCAGACACTCTTTTGTGAATAGGTAAGTGAATCCATGCACTAGTACAGCCAGGAAGGGACCAGTCTTGTATATCAGTTATGATATAATAATGTTTTTTTTAGCTGTGTTAGTTTCAGATGTACCAGATGAATACTGCTCCTAAAATTTTCTTTTAGAGACCTAATAAAATTAAAAATTGCTTCAAGATGTCATAGACTCAAAGATTAATAATAGTCTGGGTAAGACTTTTTAAACATCTCTAAGTGCTTTCATAGGCCAAATAGTGTTCAAACCATGCAYAGAGTTAGTGATGCAAGGACACACACAGCCTGAGGACCTCTTAAACTGAGGTGGACAAAAATGCTATTAGAATTGGAGGAATTCATCAGGATTTCACTTCTGATTTTATGGAAAGTGGTGCAAAAGCAACAAGCATCTGAACTTGGCTTTTGGAGAGTTTTGCATTCAGGCAGAGAATGAATTTGATGATCCCTCGGGCATTTCATTTTCCRTCAGTCTGGCATCATGGTTGTAATACACTACATAGTTCATCCTCATTCACGAAGAGGAATGCTTTCTTACCTTTCCAAATGTCTGCTAAACATGGTGTATTTGCAGTAGAATTCCATTTTGAAAGTCTTCTCTGCAGCTCTTGAGGTCCAATTTTCCTTGTGAATGCACCTGTGAGAATGGTTTCAGAAACAACCCTGTGGTTTTCAGTGCATCTACTGATGCTAACTTCATTTTTATTTTCTGAAGAATCGTCATTCTGGTTTAACATTCTGGTTAAACATCCTGGTTAATATATGTGCCTAAAATATACTAGTACTAATGTAATGACTTAAGGGCTCTGAGCGAGCTAAGAGTGATTTTCCTTTGAAAATTTCTGCCATTAGAAGTCTGGAATCACATTTTCAGCCAATGAAGTGCATCCATATCTCCAGTATGCATATATCCAAAATGCATATGTATATATGTATGCATACATATATAAAACAGTAGTAGTACATTGCTGTTCTTCATATCACATGCTAGAAGTCTGCTTAAATCATAGAGAAGGGCATAAAAACAAGTTCTGCAAGAATACTGTRTAGATCCTGAGGCACTTTGAAACCAACACTACAGAGGTATTTGTGTTCATTTTTCACGAACATTTTAAAGGATATTGAGCATGTGCATGCTGTTCTAATTCAAGGCACCAAAGAATGAATATTAAATCAGCTTTATGAGTTAGCTGCCAGACAAATGCAAACCTTCACAGCATGTTAACAACCCTTGCTCTTAGATCCTCATATGTATAAGCCAGTAGATTAAATTCAGTGGATGTGCCAGTGACTCTCCACTTGTCAGAAACATTGCCCGTGGAGGGACTTTCTTCTCTGGACACATTTATGTCATGTAATTTGTGCCATGTCAAKGTAATTAGGCTTCCTGGGATGTTTGTGGAGTGAAAGGAAAAGGGGGACAAGAGGAATCTAGGAGGGAGGATGTGGAAGAGAGGGAATGTGCAAGGTCATCAAGTCTTCTCTCCTTCTTTTAATTYTCCATCTTCCTTTTTTGTCATGGCAAGATAATGAGGACATGGAGAAATATTTCTCCTCATACTCCAGGGCTTCTCAACAGGACGGGAAAGTAGTCCTTTTACAACTCACTTTTGTTCACACACACATACACGTGTTCACAGCCAGGAGAATACTGCTGTCAGTAAGCATCAAAGTACTATTGTGATTATTAACATCACCTATTACAAAGTTGCAATAAGAACCTCTTGGATTTCTGTTCTGTTTGTTAGAAAACAGTTTGAGAGCGGAGGAACAAGGCAATACCTGCATTTTGGTAGAGCTTATGGTTCAGAGTGAAGAATGGCTTTTTGTGTGGCTTAGTTTTACCCTTCTGACACTGTGCCCCTCAATATAAACCAATAAGAGCAAAAATAAAAACCGGAATCCTCTGGAGTTAAATCATGTATTATGAGAGCATAGACGGAATCACTAGGATGTTTCTGAACCTTAAACTTCGAGCTCAGAGTCTTGTCATCATATGTAGGTGTCTGTCCGGAGACATACAAAATCCTCTCCGGGGGCTTTCCAGGACGCTGGTGATACCAGTGAACAATGTCTTCGCTGCTCATGCTGCATGCTATTCGGGCAGAGCTGTTCTCCACCCTCCCCAGCAGTGCTGGCTTTTGGACCGGGATTGTTTGTGCATCTGCACCTACAAGAGAAAGTGGAGAAATTGGGTGATGGGATGAAGATGCCAAATCTTGAACAAGGATCTTCTTCTCAGGCATGAGCACAAGGGGAGAAGGAAAAAGGGACTTACAAGACCAAAATGGAGTTCCCAGAAGGACTGGCAGCAGCAACATGCTGCCTGTTGGGGTTAAACCTGGAGCTAGACTCAAGGCAAAACAAACYGTAAAGCTCTTTAGGTAGAAAGAGAGCAGAGCAACCGGGAGGAGGAAGTGAGTCATCTGGAACCGCTAATGRCAATTCTCCAACTCTCTCCAACTCATTACCACAGAGGGTTACATCTACTGACAAGCTAAACAAGAAGCTAAACAATGCTGTAGAGAGAGGTTCAAACACTCAACCTGAAATCCATTTTGTTCCACTATCATCTACTACATTCTTTTCCACACACACACAATGTCTCCAAATGCCCAATGCCTCTCTTCACAAAGCTGTCCACCTCTCCTCAACTGGAAAACTATGCTGAAACAGTCACCTGCAGTGACTGTTCTACTAAGAGCAGGCAGATTGGGAGACTCAAGAGAGAACATTTCTTCCTTCAGTCACTGCTAGCAGTGCTTTGTGGTTCAGACATGTACAAAACTCATCAGAACCAAAATTTTATCACAAGAAAGGGAAAATCAAGAGGGAAACTACATTAGAAACTTCCCTTTCCCCAACAGAGACACTGACATACATACATATGGAAAATCTGGGACATGCTCTGTAGTGTTGCCACTATTTGCACTGGGTCACACTGGAACTTTCTCCCACAGTAAGACAGCATGCTGCAGATGTGAAGTGGTGAATGCCAGAGCCAGATTACGACTACACAAGCACATGTGATTGATGGCCCTATCATTGTGTACTGTAAGAAGGAAGGAAGGAGAGAAAGAAAGAAAGAAAGAAAGAAAGAAAGAAAGAAAGAAAGAAAGAAAGAAAGAAAGAAAGAAAGAAAG